ACCCGATACACAAAAAATGATTGATGAGGCATTAGCGAAACAAAAATCCAATTATGATGCTGAGATAGAAAAATTGAAAAAGGAAGTTCAATCCTCCAAAGCACAGGCACCGGTTCCGCAAACCATTGAACCGGTTAGACAGCAAGAAGCCCCCCATCAAATTTAAAAACGGAAGAAGATTATAAAAATTATTATGCAGCGAAATACTTTAACGATTTAGGTATATATAGTAATGAAGATTTAGATTCACATTATCCTAAAAAACCTTTTCAAAGAACAAACCAATCCGCTAGAATGGATAGAATAGAATTAAAAGTAGACAAAATTGGACAAATGACATCTCAATTTGGAAAAATGGTACTTGAAAATCAATCCAAAAAACCAGTAGCCAAATTAAATCGAACACAACAATGTTATCCCTTTCAACCAATAAATTCTAGTGTTTCAGCTAATGAGGAAGGTAATGAGGGTGGATATGATGAAGAAAAAGATATATGGCTTGATTCATCAGAAAAAAAAAATAGATATTACCAGTAACATATAATGAATTATTTTCAAAGCTTTCACTGGTAATGCGAAAAATGTGCCAGTCTCATATAGTTCAGAAGGAAGAATCAGATGAGTGGTTTTCATCTTTACAATATCTGAATGCTAAAATAGATAATTTGTTAATCTCTGATTCTTTCTTAGATCCCAGAAGTGAGATTGGTGTCTTAAATGATTCAACAATTAATGCCCTTGGATGGAAAGCTAACAAGTCATCTGACTTTGATATAAAAGGTAACTCTAAACATAGCACTAAATCATTGGGATGGTTTACGGATGTGTCAGTCAGTATAAAGTATAAGGATGGTAAAACTGTTACAGCTACTGGAAATTTTACACATATTGATAATGGCGAACCTGAACCAATGTTATGTTTAGGTATGACATGGATTCGAAAAGTTCAAGGTATTCTTGACCCGAATAAAAACCAATTCCGAATGAAATTACATGGTAAGTCTTACATTATCCCAACTTTTAGCAAGGCCCCAGAAGCATTGGATCCATCAAAAGAGAAGCAAGATTCATCGCCTCAAGTATCTACCATCTCATCTAGCTCGACTAGTGAGGAAAACTTAAAAAAAATAACTGGAACGAATATCTAGATCAATTTTTCTTTACAATGCGAGATATGTCAGGATATAGTGTTCCATCTTCTTCTTCCAATAAATGAATAAGATTATATATAGTTCCATCCCGAATATATTTTTTTAATGTATGTTCGAATAATTTTGTAAACTTGTGGGATATATCTAAACGAATTTGATTACACTCAGCTTCTTTTTGTTGCTTGATAGAGTTTAATATTTGCTGGGTAGATTCAATAAACCTTTGATGCATTGCCTCTGTAGCTTCTTTAACTCGAGCATTGATTTCATCTTCAGAATTGATTATTTGTAAGCTCGGCCCAAGATTAGTCTCGGTTTGCTCTAAGTTCAATCTAGGATGATCTAAGTTCGATCTCGAATTAATCTCGGTTTGATCTAAGATTGATTTAGTGCGACGCTGTAGATTTTTTTTCTTTGTATATTTATCAATTTCATTAATTAACAATATTTCAATATCAGGATGAATACTACTTGCCTGTTCTTCTGACAAAGGATTATGTACTCTAGAAATAAGTCGATTCCATATATTCTTTTTTATGGAAGGAGGTAATTTTTTAAGAAGTTCTGAATAATGTTCGTGGAAATTCATTATGTTTATATAATAAAATATTTCAGGAATTCTAATATTCCATATATTCTTGGCATTTTTAGAATTATAAAAATTTGTAGAATTCTTGAAATAATTGGCAGAATTCTAAATATTATATTCTTTGCATAAAAAGCGTCTAAGATTACATGCTAAGGTTTCAAAATTAGATTCTAGCTAAAATAAGGTTAGACTTTGTTCCAACTCTTTTTCGATATAAATTGTCCCAACTTTTTTCGATATATATATCAGTATATTGAGACGTGAATTAAGTATAGGTAAAAAAAAAGCAATCAGTTGCGAGGTATGTGGAACAAGTAATTGACTAATATTTCTTGAAAAATTATTAAGAAATATATATTACCTTTCCATAGAAATAAACATGCAGAAAAACTCAAAGACAGGATTACCTGCAATGAAACTTTTCCTTATGGATATGGACGAAGCTAATAAACATGAATCAATTCGAAATATTGAACATCCAGCAATGTCATGGCCTTTCAGTAAGGTAGTTAGTGATAAGAGTGGTACGGGTAAAACTAATATACTTGAAAATATTTTTGTTGGTGACAAAGGTGAATGTATATATAAAAAGAAAAAGGATGGATCTCGCTATATACGATGTGATGAATTGATAGTTTGTGGTTATTATCTTAATGAGCTAAAATGGGCATTTATTAGATATATATATGGAGTAATCGCAAGTGATCCAAAAGTACTATACTACGAAAATATTAGATTTAAATATATCTCACCTGAAAAAATTCCTAGCGTAAAATCATTTTCTCCAGAGA